GTGTCGATAGATCCTGCGCACGTACATTGTACTTCTATGTTAAAATAATATTGTTAAAAACAGAATTGTAGACTAAATTGACAAGTTGGTTACAGTAAAGTGAATTTGGTGAGTTTAAAAATATACTTTCGATGTGATTCAACAGATGTTGTCTCCGATATTATCACGTGAAAATTTGCGAAGATCGACACCCAGTAATATTTTACCTATAATTTTAAGTATGTACGAGTATGTAAGCTTGACGAATTTGAATTGAATTGCAAAACTATACCTGCACAATTCAACTGATCTTTTTAAACGATGGACATAAACATTGCTTAATATTAAAATGAAAAAAATAAATTGAATAATTCAACATATTGCATAAATAATATGTTTATTATATGTATATTATTAACAACAGTTAAAAATGTAAATTACAAGCCAAGTTTATATTTTATCTTCTTAGTTTATGACACTGTTGTATATATGTGTATATATATATATATATATATATATATATATATATATATATATACGTATAGTTTATTATTTTTATATAGTTTATTGTATACTTTAACCAGGCCAACTGAAAAACGAGAGAAAATTATTTAATTTAGAATCAGACTAGCTCGAAAGCATACATATTTCATCTTTGCGACACATGCATATGCCGGTATTTACAGCTTAAATCATGTATGTGTAATTATACATAATAGGAGCAAAGCGATGCCGCAGAAAGGAAAAAATGAAGAAAGAATACATACAACACGATTGCCAAGATAAAATAAGACGCCACCGCGGAGGAAATACATCCTTGAAGATGGCGCAAACCGTAATATCCGACGTTACCTAACTTTCGCTCTTTTGCTCCTCTACCTTTTATTTATCAACAATATAAAATCACAGCTGTTCTCGTCTTTTGTCATGCACTTTTCCCTCTAAGTGACCCGTCGAACGTAAATTATGGAATACGGACATTGGTCGATGAGGAAGGCATCTGATGACTTTCCCATCTACTTTCGCAATATCCAATTCAATTTCGGTCATTTATATTTACTTTGTCAAATTTATTCAAATCTGTATGTAATTTATTTATCCTTTATTTAATTTTCTTTAAGGATTTTACAAGATATTAAATTGCGTTAAAAGGTTTCGCCAACGATTCGTAATTATCAGCGGATTGTTTTTTTATGAGCTCGCGATCGTAGAATAAGTACCTAATTTAGTAATTATTAGATCCTACATTACCGTTACTTTAGCCGGAATTGAGTAGATATATTTAATAAAGAATAAATTCAATTCACATACTTAGGCACTCGCATACATATATGTAGACAGAAAGATATTGGAATATTCATTATTTGATGTTTAAGATCGAATTTTTAGAGTTAAAAATATATGTTATTTTCATTATGAATTAATGTCTACTTTTAAGCCAAAGGTCAAGAGTTATTTTGAATTATATTTATTTTTATATTAAAATCTTAAGTTGTAATATTATAATTGCATGTAATTGCATAGCTTTTACATTCTTCACACTGCATTAATAATATAATAATAAATTAAAAACAGAACATATAGCAAGCAATAAATTCTCATTAAGTCACCAATCGATTAAATGCTCCCGTCACGATCACCATAAAATCTATCATTATCTAGTCTGCAAACAGATAAAGAGAGTTTGTATGTTGAGTGATGATCGCATCAGCACCAGATACAACGTGGATACATTCCAAAATTATCGTGTGCATGGAGCAAACCGCAATTTGGATGGATGGAGCGTACAGATCAGCAACCGGGTAATGTCTTATTACGTTAATCGTATTTTTAGTTCGTCAACGGTTGGAACGTTTTTTCATAAATTTCAAATCCTTGAAGATTTCTTCAAATATCCGTAGTTCTCATTTTTACACGCCCATCATATTTTCAATATTTCGCCGGGGATGAGACAAAAAATGACAAATGAACTCGAGATATCATATCATAAGCCGTCGTGAAAGAAAAGTTAGGGAAATGTTCTGCACTTGGATAGTTTGCGAATTTTACAGGATCGTAATTTTTAGTTTTTAATAATATCGATCTTTCATATATTTACATGTAATATGCAAACTCTTTTTGTTATATATATCCTTCGACATTTATTTTTCCTTACAAGCATAAAAGACTTTTACGATTTAATGGTTTTATACAACTTTACGATATTTTTATATATTAACTGTACAAAATTTATCTTTCAGTTTTATCTAATTTTGAAAGGTATTCGTGAAATACTACTATGGTTGTGCTATATATGAACATTATACGATTCCAACAATGAACAATTTATAAGTTATTTTGCAGATGAAAATTATATACTCTTTGAATAGCAAATTAACTGTGAGTTATTATTTACGTTAAAAAATAAATTGAACATCTAAATATCAAATTTCTTATTTTTAAACATAGTTTAAAAATACATAGTTTTTGATCATTTTTAATTTAACTATTCTGTTTTACAGACAATCTCAGCTTTTCCAGTAATATTACACTTATGAGTACAAATTAATTGTCCTTATGATACTAGCAATTTATTTTCATTATAAACGTCAATTGAAAAGATGTATTTACTTAATAATTACTTAATATATCGTAAAGGTAACGAAACAAAAAAAAAAAAAAAAAAAAAAAAAAAAAAAAAAAAAAAAAACATAAGAATTGTACATTCGAACTTACTTTCTATCAAAGTTAAAAATTTCTACATCTTCTTGGGAAATTCTTTCAAAACAGCAAAAGCAAGATCGACAAAATGAATACTCGCAATTATGATTCTTTAGACTATATTGAGAAACTTAAGATAAGATAAACTTAAAATAGAAACTCAATTACACCGACAGCATACCTGTAAGAAGAATGATATTATACACACGAAATCTCATTAATAATTGCCAAGTCTCTCTATTTGCCTATACCATCGCTAATTCTCTCTGTTATTTTGTCACTTTCTTCCATTACAACATAATGTGAAAGCACGTAAAGTCGACTAAGTCTTTGCTCTCACCTCGTTGCCCGTATTTCATCCAGTGAAAATGTAAATACAATTCTGAAAGTGCTACATTGGCATTGCGCTAACTGAGTGGCACATAGGAGAACAAAAGAGAATCAGGATAGAGAGACACGTACGTGTTAATCTTTACTGCTTTCGCTTCCAAAAATCGTGATAATGTGAATCATTACCGAGACAAGAATGCCTCCCGTATTAAAATTATTTAAACCGCAATGGTGTGGATTGCGGTGCAGTGCGTAAATTATGCTTTACAACATTTTATCAATAGAATGATGGTCTTAAGGATTTTAATGGAATCGCTCAAGTTATACTTGAAAAAACCAAATAGTTGAAATTAAATAGAAATTCGTTCCTCATCGTATTTCGAGGCTCGCAATAGGATTTAAAATGTGCCAATGCTAAATTATAAGAAATAAAGTATTTCTCTTATTTGTGCTATATTTTCACTTGATGAGTTCACATTTCATTAAATTCCATTAACGTGCACAAAATTGAAATTATATGTACAAGTTTTTATAAATATTAAAGTTTCAAAATAAACTAATTAATAGAAGCTAAAAGAGAGAAGTAATGTACCACTGTGTCAAATTCAATTTTTATTCATTTAAAAAGAATTTATAACATGATATAACAGTAAAATAAAGCGTGAAATTTTTCTTATAGTCTCGTAAGTTGTTACGTGTAAGTTGAATTGAGAAAAAGACGATGAACGATAAAATTCCGAACGACATTCCTAGAACTGAAGATATTTCTAAACCAAGAGAAAATCTCATCTTGTTGCATTACTATAAATCACTGGCTATACTAGTTAATTTTCTTTTATATATTCTTTACTTTCCCTCGTGTACTTCTTACGTAATTATTTATTAACTCGTAAATTTTTTACTTTATTTACATATAAGTATATATTTAATTTAAATACATGTATAGTTGTAATATTTATAATGTTGTTCTATTTCAATAGTTGTTCTATTTTAAATTGAATAGAATTAAATAATCGACTTTGAATATTAAAAATAAACGCCTTTGTTACATATTAGGCACATTTCATTAATATTAACCAACATAATTGGTTTTCAATGATGCAATAATATGTTAAAAAAATACGTATCAGTAATATGTCATAGAATTTATCGAATAACACATCGAATGACCGAGATAAATTTCATTTTTTATTTGATTTTCTTTTTAGATTATGTCTTGACGATAAAGTACATTTTGTTTTCAAATTCAGTTTTACAATAAATACTTACTATCCATATTAGGTTCAATATAAATTCAATACAAGTAATATTCATTCCTTTGAAAGCATTATAGAATCAATAAAATCAATTAGGTTATATGTTTAAATTTTTTCAAAGTACATTATAATTAAATGACAATTATAGTAATATATATATAGTGTGTGAATATAAAAAAATTTACTTCTTCATAATTAATATGAAAATTTAATCTGATAAATCTGAAAATTTATAATGATAATTTAATTCTAAAATTCATCATAATTATCAAACATAACGTTTCTGCAATATAAAAAGATAAAACTTATGTGATGATGAATTTTAGAAAAAACATTATTGTTTTTAAATATTTTTTTTTTTTTTTTTTTTTTTTTTTGGTAAAACAAATGAAATATTGTAAAATGAATCGTATTTACTAGAAAATCAGCATTACCATATCGGAGAATTTTCGATAAGATGCTAACATAACGGATTAACATACGAATTATTAATAAAATTTTTTAATAAAATTTTTAATAAAATAGTAAAACTTATAATACATCTAATTGTTTGGAATATATTTGTATAATGTTTGATAAAATTTTAACTTAAAAAAATTAAAAGCCATTTAATCGAATACGCTTTATCGTATTTTACACTTGAAAAAAAACAAAAACAAGTTTTTATATAATTCATATGATATAATGTAAAATGACAATTACTAGAGTATAAAAAATTCAAAGCCATTTGCTTACCTGTACGTAAAAACAGAACCAACTACCAAAAATACAACGATTGAACTAAGTACGATTGAAAGTATGGCGTAACCGGGTAACGCTAAAACAGAAATCAAAAAAAAAAAAAAAAAAAAATAGATAATTAATAATCAAAATGTTTCATTAGAATAATGCTAGTCAATGCCTCCATTACTATACATCATTAAAACATTGATTTCTTGTATATTTGATTGAAATCGAAACTAATAAAATCAAGCAGTTGAAAAGGAAGAATATTTGTATAATAAAATTAATGCATTAATACGTGTTTTTTTTTTTATATATAAAAAGGAATACCCTGTGTTATAAATATTCAAACAAGCTCCAAACATAAAATGTTTTTAGTAAACATTCCATTATAAAGTCTTTTCATAAAATTGCAGATAATGATTGATTTTTCGTCAGTTAAGCAAGAAGTTGAAACACAGTATACGAGTACAATCGGGTTTTCTAATTTCATTGTATATAGAAATTCTCCGGTAAACTCCGTTTCCTTGATCCAACCAACATCTCTCTATAATGGAGTAAAAAATATGAAAGCTCCGCTAGTTGCCTCGTAAATCAGCATGCAAATTTCCATTTCGTCAACATTTCACTTCGGTCGCTTATAAAATGAAATGTATGACTCACAGTTGTCCGGGCAAAGCAATCCATCAAATCCACACGTGGGTGTATCAGGTGGCGGCTCGAGTCGGCCTCCCGACCAATGTATCCTCTTTCCTGGTATATATTCTAAAGTTCTATTCGCTCCGTAGTAGTTTGCTACTATCTGCAACGATATGTAATTCGACTTTGTTAAAATATTAGAAATCCATCAAGATTAATGCCGCATAAGGTATGGTCGGATGCATTTGCAAAACTAGCTGTAAATATATTTGCGTGTCCAATTAATCTCTTGAAATAAAGAAATTGGCTATATCTTTTCACGTAAGTAGGAACACTAATAGTTGGTATACTAATTATTGATTAATTTTCATGATGTTTCGTTTTAATTAATTAATTGAGTCGACGAACAATATTAAAGTTAATACTTATCAAATAATTACGGACACTGCTCATATCAAAGATACAAACTTAAAAATCGATAAATTCTACAGTTCAATTCATTTTATTAACACGATGAAGGTAATATGCAAATTATTTTAATCGTACACACTTCAGTTACTTTCTATATTACATAGTACTGTTGTAATATACATAACTGCTATTTTTATGTTCGTGCACTAATCGATACGATTTTGTCTTGCATTAGTCCATTAAAATTTCAAAAAATTTTGATAAATCCGATTTATCTTATTTTATAAACTCAAAGAATTTTCTTACTAACTAGATAGAATATTAAACAAATTATTTCGTAAACACTTTTTAGAATGAAAACTCTGTTAAATGATAATAATAACTTTATTTTATGATAATAATTTTCATATTATCTCATGGGCCTGTACATTTTATTTTAAAAGTAATATGAGTATCTCGAAAGATGTATCATACATTAAATGGACGCCTGACTTTAGCTCGATATATCCTACTTATAAGCACTCGGCAATTGAGAAGTAACGTATTATGAAACATCCAACATCATCCAACTAACTTTATTTTTGTAGATTATTAATAATAATTCTAATTCTCAAAATAATACATCAAACGATATTTGAAACTATGAGGATTTTATTTAAATTCATAATCGGGAAATTCATAATCTTGAGAAGATATTTTAAATAAGAATTTCTAGGAATTTTTTATAATCATAAAAAATTTATAATTATTAATTGTAATAAAGTAAAAATGTGATGCGCAGAAATTATTAATATACTTTCTTTCATTTTATTGTAACATAGATATTAAAATTGTATAAATTACTTATATTAGATAGAGAAGTTGATGTACTAAGTATAACTATATTTCATTTACGAATTCGTTTACATTAAATAATAGAAAATTCATATCTATAATAAATATACGATTTTACATTAATAAGGAATTATTTTATAATATAATAGTTAAATTGTAAATTCTCCATCTCATTTAACATATATACAGTAATATAGAAATACAAAATTACATGCTTTTTATATAGAAAGAACTACTTAAAATATTATTTTCAATAAATTTAATATACTGATGGTTTCATTTATATGTAATAAAATAAAAAAAAATTTATGAAACGAAGGTTTGATCATTCTTGAATCTTCTATGAACTATCGTAAAATTAGTAATAAATGAATTGCAATAAGTGTGATTCAGAGATCATTAACGTTTATATCACTAGCTTTACCATATCATTGTTAATTAGTTTTCAAAAATAAGTAACTTTTCTCGAACGAGGTTCTTTATATTTCTGAAGAAAAAAAAACAACTAAGTAATATATTTTAGTAGTGAAAATTACTTAACAATTCAAACGTTTTAACATAATAGTCTTTAATAATTATTTTATATTAATTCATTTACATTCTATTATTTATATGTAAAAGTAATATTACTTAATCTTAAAAGAAAAAAAATCTTTGTTATGTATTTTCATTTCTCGGTGGTTTAATTTCATTATCTAATTTTAATTAAATTTTAGAAGTTTTATTTTATTCCAAGTTAACTGATTTCAAAATGAATTTCTAAAATAAAAATGAAAAACATAAATCTCATGTCTCACGCAAATCACTAACAACAGCTATTAAATATTTCACAGATATAATTTTAGTGAATAAAAGTTAGCAATATTATTTTTAACTTTCTTAAAATACTTTATTATCCATAATATGAATAAGTTATAATTATAAACTTCAATGAAACATAGCCGATCGACAGTAAATCGATAATATCAAAAGTTTAAAAGAAAAACAAATTTTAACCTGAAGAGTCCCCATTTTTATATATATATATATATATATATATATATATATATATGTGTGTGTGTGTGTGTGTGTGTGTGTGTGTGTGTGTGTATGTGTGTATTATATCCTAAAACTGCAGAGAATTAATTTAGAACATTTTTCCTTCATTCGAGATTCATCGTATCCGCATTTTCGGTATTCTATTAAATGGCTCGTTCCGATTAAATATGATAATTCGATAGTCATTTGCATCGACAACTATTAATTGCATTTAAAAATTGATTAGATACCCACCTCGAACTTTGAAGTTTCAGGATTCATGTCAAGTAGAGAATAATCGGCTATGCGATCGCCGTTCTCGTCGATGTGCACGTCTCCTGTAATACCTACAGAAAGTTCATTCTGCACAGTTAATTTTAATTTCTTTATTCGGCAAATCGATCATTGTATTCGTTGCCAATTGAATGAATGAAGAGATTTACTTGAGAAACTTAATTAATATATTATTACTCGTGTCATTGTCTTTTAATTATTCTATCCAAGAATAATACACGTGAGTGCGCGTAAATAATATAAATAATAGCTTTGTCGCGTTTGTTCAAATTAATTGTAAATTTAATATTCCATGGCTTCAAATAATGTACGAATTAATTGCATTTCAAACATCTAAAACGTTTACTTAATGTGACACATACGTAAGCCTCCATGTACATGATGCAATTGTCCACGAAATTGGTAAAAAACAACCATGGATAATTCATAATATTTGGTATATTACATTTTAAAATATAGAAAAGTATAATTTTATTATATTAGATATAAATTTAATTTAATTGTATATATATCATCGAACTGTAATAAATAATTCTTTCTTTTAATTGAATTTAATCTCTTCATCGACCTAGTGATCGAACTCAATAAATGGAACAACGTATGATTCAAATTATTCTTGTAAAAGACATGAAGCGTTAATCATCCTAAGGCGAGTGAAAATACTAAAGTGAAAAGACAATAACCATAACCTAGTGGTCATAACGGTTTCGCGTATGTATGTATATATATATATATATATATATATAAATGTTATATGAATAAATTAGTGGATAAAGTTTCATCATGGTGGTAACGACGCAGTGGGCAAATCGCGCCGTCAACGTCGTCTATATCTCCAGATATGGACTAGTGGTCACTCACCTCTGAAACTCCGGCCCCACATGCGTCGCGTGAGGTTTCCACCGTCTAGGTTAACCTCACCCGGCTTCTCCGGTAGACTCTCCTTAAGGGCGAGGGCGTAAAGGAGAACCGCGTCGTAGAAGGCGGTGACGAAGGTCGAGACGGAGCTGTTGCCAAAGGTGAAGTTGTATCGGCTCTGAGCGAGGGACTTCACCTCTTGCGAAAAGTTCAGGTATTCGAGGTTGTCTGGGGTGCGGGTTGTCACCGTGAGCAACGCCTGGTAAGCCTTGCGGGCCTTCTCGTTGCGCTCCCAGGTGTCAGCTTCCACGTGCCAAGGCTCCTTCGTGTTATGATCACTGGAGAATAATACGTCACGTAGATATATGTTTAGGAGTTTTCTTTTTAGTGTTATCGTTCTTTGGGGCGAGGCCGCGGGATTTATGTCGCAAAATTAAATTCTCCGGAATTGTTAATTACAAAATTTAGATTATCAATATAGCCTCATTCGCGTTGATTAACTGATTTCTTGAGTAGGTTTCGTTAAAAAATATGCTTTAAATTTCCTAGGAGATTCCTGAATTGCGATACCAGCTTAATTATTATAAATTTTGCTGGCTAAACATAAGCAAAAGGGTATGAAATTATACAGAATGTAAATGCGTTAAGTGGTACATAGAATATAGTTTTGTTGAATTTATGAGGCATCAAATCAAAATAACACGCACATTGTAGAGTCTTCAGAATTTCCAGGCCCACATGAATTACAGCCAATGTCCAAGATTAAAAAATGTTAATCGTCGGCATTATTTTAATGCGACTTTTCGAATAAATTGAAAATTAATTGACAAATCTGCTTAAATGTCTATATTATAATCGTAATTCATTTGAAGATCTGATTTGGGTTGTTATATATACTTTTACGTAGATACAGATCAGATTAAATTACATCGTTAATCATCCAATCTTATTTTGCGCACTTTGAATGAATGAAGGAAAATACGTATTTTTAAATTTCTTAAAAATCTATAATTAAATTGCTTGTTGTGCGATAAAAATATTTTAATATATTAATACTATTATAACAGCATAATAATGAATTCTGCATTAAGGCAACGAGTGCGTGAAATTTTATTTTTATTATAAATAATACATACACACACGCGCGCGCGCACACACACACACACACACACACACACAAATAGAAGTTGTATAATAGTTGAATAAACATTTATTTGTCCTGTATAGATCAAACTGCTTGTCCATTCGAAATGTGTCTTCGTTATATCTTCAGACAAGAACTTATTGATGCATTTTTTAATATCGTAGCGGAAAATAATGGAATTATCGTTAAAAATGCAAGAAGTATAAAGAAATTTTTATTGCAAAAAATAATAACAAAAATTTTCAGAACAAATTTGAAATAAATTGCCAAACTCTATGTAAGGTAGAATTAAATAATTGTATAAATAAAATAAATATAAATTTTATTTCTCAATAGGTATTTCTTAATAATAAATTTCATTAGTATTTGTAATAGTATTTGTAAATAAGTTGTTGGATTATAAAAGTAAATGTAAATTAAATTTTTTAGAATTACGAATGAATTATAACTTTAGTAGATAAGAGATTTATTATGATATGAATATACGATAAGCAATTTCGAAAATTTAATTAAGTATTTAATTTTCGATTGAGAAACTATTCCATACATTTGTAATTATGATTATTCTTATAATCTATGAGTGAAAAATGACTATTTTATTTTATTAATAAATAATAACGCTTTCTAGAATTCTTGAACCTCTCTAACAATTTCAAGCTGAAGTACATTACTATTATATTAAGGGAATATTATCTAAATCGAATCTATTTGTAGGAATATTACGAAAAATATTACACAGCCTATTCGATAATAGGACTTCCCAAAGGAACATAATTTGTGTATATTTTCTGTCAGTAACATTAGAATTCTAAAGGAAACGTGCCGCGCCCTTTCTAAGATAGACTCAACGTGAAGGGATCTTAAAGCGACCCTGTCCCCATGCCCAATTATTTAAATAACTCGGCTTGTTTCATTTTACTCTCAAGCTCTCTCTCTCTCTCTTTCTAATCATTCCTAAATTGCATAATGTCTTGCTTGAACTTCAACGATTCTTTGTAATGGCTTATTAAATTTTGTTACGCGAAATATTAAAACATAATTATTTCCTTAATTATTTTATCATACGTTATTTGCTAAGTAACTAATATCTAGACTAAATCTTATATTATTTACACAATATAGCGTTGGCTGAGCATTAGCCATTTTATTGAAACTATTCAACGCCTAATAATAATAATATCGATAAAAATACTTAAAATATTCAATACATTCATAAATTTCCTTTACAAAAAATAACTGTCGATATTTTTTTAAAACTTGATTTGTTTGAAAGGTCCAGCTTGAGCTAGATAAAGGGTTGAATATATTTTTTAATAAATTTATTATAAAGAATATATACTGTAGAATCAACTGAAAATTCATATTTAAAAAAAACATAAAAATTTTATCTGAATAATAAATCATAATAGGTAGCATCGTACACATTATTATTGTAATCTACTTTGGCAGCATTTACGTTAAAAAATAATAGGAAATTTATTTGGGTGCATTTTATTATGTACCAATACTATTAAAAATTGTAAAATTGATTAAAAAATATCATGATTTTTAAATAATATTAAAGTATGAAATTATAATTAATTGTTATTTGAAGCTATTTAATCGTATATGTCATAATTAATACTTTTTTTCTATGTAAAGAAAAACTTCCCTTCCATTTGTCCTTCATTTTTTAATTTATAAAAGAAATTCTTGGGCATTGAAGTAGTTTGAACTGAACGTATTGCCATTTGTACTCTCTGGAAATATAAGAATTATAGTTCTTGTACAACTTTTCTCTCTTATGACAGTAACATAATTCGAGAATATTATAATTATTTGCTTATATTTCAAAACAATAAACGGATAAAATTACACTAAATTCTTGGGCATTGAAGTAGTTTGAACTGAACGTATTGCCATTTGTACTCTCTGGAAATATAAGAATTATAGTTCTTGTACAACTTTTCTCTCTTATGACAGTAACATAATTCGAGAATATTATAATTATTTGCTTATATTTCAAAACAATAAACGGATAAAATTACACTGTTTTTTTTTTTTTTTTTTTTTTTTTTTTTTTTATAATAATTTTATTATATAATATAATGATCAAATATATAAACAAAAATGAAGTACATTAAAGTTATAAAATTGAATTAGTATGTATTACAAGTAAATTTCTTTTTGATAAATAATTTAAATATTGAAAAATCTTTAAACTTCTTTAACGACGCTAAAATGCTATTTAAATAAATCACTTGGAATTTCATTGTAAAAATAATGTAAGCATTAATTTTATATATTTGCAGATCGAGGAAAATATTAGATTCAAAATAGCGTTATTCATTATTAGAGTAATAAAAGAAATAATTTCATCACTACACAAAACATAAATATTCGAATAATCATAAAATAAAAATAGTGAAATCCTAATGTGAAATCGTCCGAGTCAACTATTATTTTATACATCAAAGAAAAATTGTACCAAAGAAAAAAGTTTAATATAATTTGAATATTATTAAATAAAATTATGAAATTTATTCTATATATTCTATATATGTGTATATATATTTAATATTATTTATTTCATCAACTTACGTATGAAAAAATATTACTTGAATAACTAAAATAACCATGACAAATGTATGTGAATTTCTAATTTCTACAAAATGGGTGTGTTAAATTATCAAAAAAATTATGTACGTTTGTATATATTCTTATTTAATAACATTTTCAAATTTTCATTTTAATAATCTTTTTTTTTTTTTGTGATAATTATACATAACTTTCCTATAGCAATTATGCATTTATAAAATAATGATAATAATATATTAATATAATATCACGAAATACTTATTCGTTTACTGTTTATAACAACATATTATAAGGAATTTCTTTACAATTAGCCTTTATTTGTACGTTTTAATTTTTTTTTTTTATTCATATGAAACTTTTTTACTCGTCGTGCCACAATTACTTTTCATTTATATTAACAAAGAGCTACTACTTTTTGTTGCAAGAACTTTAACAATAATTTGTTAATGAAAATATTTATTTTTCAGAAGGTGAGGTATAGAATTCGTAACTTTTAAAAAGTGAAACCTAATAAATTAAAAAAAAATTGGTTATTCTATTTAAAAGTAATTAGAAATTATGTTAATTTCTCGAATTATGGAATGCCATTAATTAATATTAAAGACCATTCCAGATAGATATAAGTAACAAATAATTGTACTCAGGAAACATTGAATCTTATTAAAAATGAATACTTCTAAACTTTGTAGATCGAGTATCTCATACATCCAAACATTATTAAATAATAATTAAATTCACGTCCAAGTTCTTTAAATTATAATTTCCTGATAAATAATCATTGATAATTGTATTATTAAAATAGAATATATGGATCTTTTCTATTTTTTTTTTTTTTTAAGCTGTAAAAATCTATATGAATTCATTATATAAATAATTAATGTATATATATATATATATATATATATATCGACCTATATGTGTGAAAGCTATCTGATTCAATGACAGAATAAAAAAAAAAAATTCTTCCCTTTGTTAAAAATGAAGGCCAAGTAAAAATTGATAATATTTTTTAAAACCGAGAAAGAAATAAAATATTTATTTAGTAAGCTCAAAAGATCAAAAATAACTTATTTATGTACACTTAGACTTGCCAACTCTTAATTCACAAATTAATGTTTAACAAAATCCAATAAAAACAGCATGGTAAATGAAATTAAATTCATGTTTTAGAAGAATATGTCTTTTTAGAAATATTTCAATGCACGCATATCCAATTATTTTTACATAACAATACAAATAAAATTAACTTATTGTTTAATAATAGAGTACCGGGCTAGGAGGGCAAATGGTTGATGGGTAGGATTGCGAGCAAGTGGACGTATTCATAGTGCACGTATTCAATAATAAATAGCATTGGTATTTGTTGTAATTTATTGCGATTTTATTGCGACATTAGTTGTATTATAATGATTTTTAGTTGATGTTTGAATGTCTCCGTTTCTTGACTTTTGTTATTGCTATTGCCATATAGAGCTGTAATGTGCGTTGCATGTATAGGTAGAAGGGTGCAGTAGTAAATTCTGGTAGCCTTCTGGTCCTCTATATGTAATGCACGTGGTGGTGGTCGTGTTATACACGTAGAAGAACAAGGTCGTAAACCCCCGTGCTTCCTTGTGCAGTGGCACGTGGCAGTAGCTTGAGTTTGCCTTATTATTGTCTTATTGCTAACTTTGTAGGCTCTGCAGAAGTGCTCTTCGTGGCACTTCTTCTTAGTCTGCAAATATTGCTGCGTACGGCGCCTCGGAAGTCTTTCTTGTGGGAGCTAAATTTGCCCCTTATGTGCTCGCAGATTGTGTGAGCTTGGTCGATCTACAGTTCTCTACCTTGTGAGGTATATTGTGTATTATTATCGTTAATAAGGAATGGAACTTTTACCTCCTGACTTCTGCAGATTTTGTGCTCTTGGTGGCAGCTAGTGATGTCTGCAGGTTGTGCCTCGTGCGGCAGCTTGTGGTTTATGTTTTGTGTTTTTCTGGCTATACCTCGCGTATTGTTTGCTGAATTTGCCTCGAGCGGCTCCTTATAGGTTGTCATTATGTTGTGCCATGTGCACCACTGTTTACTTGTTCCTTTTTCCTTGTCTTGCACTGCTGCGAGTGTATAATTTGATTTGCACTTATCTTGCACTTGTCATGATTTGGATATGACTATACTTTGCCTCTTAATCGGCCTTTACCGTCTATGTCAACATCCTTGTTCTTTGGCGTTCCTTTTGAGAAGTAGCCTTGCCTGCTTCTTTTGTGAGAAGCAGTTGCGCCTTGCCGGCGTCTTTCTTAAAAGCATTCTCGGCCACCGCGTGTCCCTTATGAATTTTCTGCTTCTTGGCGTTTCCAATAAGAGCGCCTCTTTTTGGGCGTCACCAATCGAATTGATCCTTTCATTATCGACGGCTCCAATCAGAGCGCTTCTTACTTGCAGTCCCAACATGAGAGGGGGACTTCTTTGGCACGTTCTCACTTCATCATCCGAGCCACATGTAGCTTTGGGTTTGACAACACCGTATGCGTGCGGTGTTGCCTTTAATATCCCTTTTTTCGGATGTAAGACGAGGTGGTTTTTGCTTATATTTTTATGACTTGATTATGCCAGAAGTATTATGACTTGTAGTCGATAGATGCTTTGTGGCAAGGCCCTGTTAAATATCTCGTAGCATTAGTTTTATGACGGCTTTTTGCTGGACACTTGGACCTTTGTTCTCGCCACATGTGTTTATGAATTGTATTTTCTTTAGATATTGGAAGTTTTGCTGAATTGTTTAGATTTAGTTAATCCGAGGCGCGTTTTGAATGTTATTTCTCGAGTAGTTGAGAGTTCGCCTTTTTCGAAACTCTTATCTCGAATTTTCCAGATGTTTAATGAGCTGGGAGTTTTCTTACCTTCTCGAACACTTACATTAAAAGCTCTTTTCGTTTTCATAATGTCAGCAAATTTATATTGTTATACTCATGAAAAAAGTTACATTTGAATGATTACTATTCCTACCTAAATACTATCATATATTAAATATCTCATCATAAGTAATAAATGAATTAATAACCGTATTATATATACATATACATATGTATGCTATGATGATATATATAAATAATGATTATACTGTTAATAAATACCTGAATTTAAGAATACCTGTTTCACAATATTATTTCTTGATACAAAAATGGCCATTCTATAATTAATTTACATTAATCTAATGATATGCATGGGTGTATATATTTATATGTATTTCTAAATTATAAATATTGTAGTAGTGTAAATTATACTTGTTATGTAATTGTTATGACTATCTTAGTCAATTATTCAGTATTACTCTAAACTAAAGAACTTGCCATATTGCAAACTTGTCAAAGCACTTGTAATAAATTTATACTAAAATTAATTTGTATAAGCCGTGGGAAAATATGCGAGTATAGAAATTAACGAAAACGACTTACGACAAAAGGAATTAGTACAATAGATTTGCCGCGCGATTAATCTAATGTGAGATAACATTTTGGCATCTGTCAATCGACGTTGGATAAATGAGTTTCGAGAAGCTAAGCACGAGCGAGTCGAGGTTTACACTTTGATGGTGTGTGCAATTGTCTCACGTGGTCTCGTGAATAAACCCAATATCGAGCTCTAACGGAATTAATTACGGTCTTATCGATCAATTCGAAATATCAAAATTTAAAGCTCAACAGTCGATTATACGTATACGATTAATAGATGTTATTGAGAAATGAAGTTTATTGTTATCTTCATTATTGCAGATTGAAGTTAGTTTTTTCATCAAATAACTTTTTTACACAATTTTATAAATAGCAAATTTGTTAAAAATTCTGGATAATTTAGCTCTTGAATAAATTAAGATTATTTTACTTGATGGTGGCTTCCAATTATGCGTGGACTTATGTTCAAATACATATGTGAAAATAAGAATTTTAAAAGAATATTTGAATTCAATTTAACCATATTAAATAAATACGTTAATATTTTGAACAAATTTAAGGAAGAACCTTATTATACAGATGATCATTTATATTTTACATTATTTTAATTTTAATGGAAAATTAAACTATATATTAATGTAGATGTATAATTTTAATTTATAAATATTAACTCAATGCTATAAATATATATATATATATATATATATATATATATATATATACATATAATAAAGTGGTTTAAAAATTTACTAATTACAATACAATAAATAAAAGACATATTTATCCATTGAAATAAGTTTATTCATTCGTTAAAAATGACGCTATGAATATCTAGTAATAACAATCGATTTCAAAAAAATTAATAAAGATAACCATGGATATAAATGTTAATTTAAAACTACATTAAGCTAATATAAATCATACAAGGCTGATAAAAATTCGATTATGATAACTCAATCATTATTATAAATTTATATGAAAAATGATTAATTAATAAATTTATAAAATATTAATGAAATTAAGTCGATTTTTTTATTTTTACGAAATAACCGGTATTTTAATGAACACAATGAATCAATGCAAATTATTATGTACCTAATGCTACCTTATAATTGGGTTAAAATACAAAGAATAAATTTTCAGAAGCTTACACATTTCCATTTCGTTTTTACGAACTTAAACTGATAGTGACGAGAAAAATTGTCGGGATAAAATAGTATTAACGATGATGATTTGTTATTCCGAAACATTAAAAAAAAAATGTATTTTAACAATACAAGCAAATAGAAGAAAAAAGTGTCGCTAGAAAATTGAATAAGACAATCACTTACCTAGTTGTCAGCTCTATTGAAAAAAAAACATATTCCCCAGAATCAACCATTCCCAGTTCCGAAGCAGCTAGGAGAATTTCACGTATGGTCGTCGAATTGGCGCACATCACTACAACTGAAACAGAGAGAAAGTGAAGCATAAGTGTAGCGGCGCTATGGTTTGGTAAGGCACGATTGGCAAGGTATGTGAAATAAACTTTTTTACATTAGAGTTGTGCGAAGTGGTGGTACACGCAAGAATACGTACATACTCTATACAAACTCATAATATTTAGAATTTCAATTGTAAGAGAATTTTGAAACTCAAACTTCTTTAAAGTAAAAGCTGAAAGGTTCTATAAGAGAAATGTTTAACTTTAACGACTGTTTATTCGATTTTAGTAACTTCATTCGGCAAATATTTCAACATTCATCTTACAAATCATATTGATAACTAATGATAAAACGGATAAAAACATTATTACGTTATATTTTCAAAAGTATTCCTTTTTTTTCACTCGTAAAATGTAAATAAATAAATTTTATAAAACTAGCATCTTTAGGATTATCCTAAGGATTATCTTGTTTAAAATAGTAGTTAAACGTAAAATAATAGCTTTTCTTATATCTTGAAATCTTTAAATATTGCGAAATAAATGATTTTTCTTTTCGTAGTACAGTTTACAAATTAATACACGTTTTTATAAATGAAATTTAAATTTCACTTAAAAAAATTTAAAATTCTGTCACTAACTTATTGTAGACTAAATTATTTTCAAACTATAAGCACCCAAGACATTTTTACAATCGATTTAATATTACGATATTCGTGGCAATTATATCATCGTGTAAAATTTATAGTTAAATGCATTGGTACCGAATAATTTATAAATATAAATTAATACATTAAAGGGCTAAATTTGTGCTTTCTTATTGGTCAATAATTATACGAGAACGTAACATAGAAATTTCAAATAAGTAATAAAGTTATTAATCAAATTGCGAGAGGTAAAATTGATTGATGATCTATGATAGTAAATTCTTCTTAAGTTTGATCAGGCAATAAAATTAGATTTGTTCGATATTTGAACCGAGCATGAAATAAACCAATAAGAATCTGTCTCTCTTCATTTTTCTTCCATTAATTAAAGTATTTTTAATAATCAATGTCAAGACATATATGAAATTATACACTCAAAGGCAATTTCACTTGGATCACACATGCTCTTTGCGTCGGGCATTTTGATGAAACTCTCGGAGATTTTCATATCAAAAGATAAAGGATAATAAGCTCAGGTATAAGTAATGAGTCAACGTTAGTAAGGTAATTGACTTGGAGTTCTATCGTTATACAACATCGATATTGTTCACATCATTATTGTTGCATTGTGCAAATAATATTTAAATCGGGAAACTAACAAAAAAAAATATACATATTGACATATTGACATAATTATGTCATAATTCTATCAAAGTTCGAAAATTAGATGAAAAAAAGTCTCGAGGCATGAAATATGTTTAATCAATCTACTACCGTAAAACTTCCATATAATCGATAAACATTAATGGAAAATGTTGAAGGAAACATAATTCAAGTCTTAATGGGCTCTTAAATAATAATCGCTAAATTCTAGTAATTTTCAGCTTGACCAATAGCCACATCACATTAATACATCTCATGATTTTTACAAACGATAATTACATTAATCGTTCGCCGATAAATCCAAAGACAATAAAAATGCAATAGATACACGAGGATATAATACGATGCCTCTGTTGTACACTGCCAAAATCAATTACCATTATCCAAAAATTTGCTCAAAACTAGAAAGAGGATGGTTAATTTGTAATTGGAGCCTTCCATCCCAAGCGTATTTAGATTACCAAGTTTGCACACGTAGAAATACCAACCATTGCGACAGAAATCATGCAATTTCTCCACTATTTACAACGGACTGAATCTCCGAATCTTATTTTCTAGCATTAGCGCATGCGGATACCTCGAAATGTAAAACCACTACCACCGCTTCCATTTAACTTTCACCACAATTTGAAGACCACGAACATTTTTATTTTAGAAATTCTCCTTTCAACTTTATCTTTAAAAGTGCGCTTACTTTTAAGGTTTACAAGCCAATAATTATATTTATCAACAAAAAAAAAAAAAAAAAATGTAAAACGGTGAAAAACTCCTCGATCATCTTATTATTTTGTGTGAATAAAGTGATTCCAAAATGTGAGCTTATTAATCTAGTGAATTAATTGAAAAAAAAGTCGTATTAATATAAATTCAGAAATGAAAAAAATTTGTTTCTTAAAGTATTAACGATACAAATTAGATATAAAAATGACTCGATAATAATAAGTTTATTGACTTTTTAGTCAATAATATAATAATATAAAATCATAAATTACATTCAAAATTATTTAATGAATGTACATTAATGTTTAGTTAATATGGAACGGTTGTGTGAATCGACGTACAATGTAAAAATATCTAATGTAACATTTAACATTATAATAATAAATATAATCCTAAAAATTTCATCCTGCTTTTATTTATTAATCAATTATACAATAATATATGAATAATATATTCTATATTATTCGAGCGAAGTATTGCAATCCATTAAATTAATTACAAATCGCTTTGAAAATGTGATTTAAAATATTGAATCGTTTATTTTTGACATAACAATTGAGTGCTTTGATTTGTTGTTTCATTTCTCAATTTATCATCGCTATTTTATTGATTTTTCTACTACATCGGCTATATTTCGACAGTGTAATTATAATTTATACTATATATTGAATAATATCAAATTCAAATATACAGGCAAATGATTATATCAATATAACATATGTATATATATATATATATATATATATATATATAAATCTGAAATATATGTTTATCTCATCTCATATTCTAAAATATATCTCATATATGCATATAGTGAGTAATTTATATTAAATAATGACTATTTTTATATATGTATGCAATGTAAATGTTTAATGGAGTGATTTCGTTATTATTCAAGTGATTTTTAATAAAGCATTAGAATACTAGTAAATTGCATCTCAAATTCGTCATTTTATTTTTACTAAATGGAGGTTAGGGCACTTCTATCGCTTGTAACTGCTTTTAACTCTTCAATTAATTACTAGATTTTACTAAAACTAGTATAATTTGTTTGTTATATAATTTATCTGTTTTTATTATTTTATGTGCTCGCGCACAAATAAGTAAATTGTTTTGTTTATAAATATTATTCAAAGTAATTTCTCAATCACATCTCTGTTTCCACGATCTGTTTCCAAAACACTTTAACAAAACAATATGAAAATTTTCTTAAGCTAACAGAAAAGCAATTTACCCTTATTCACGTTATAAATTGTAACATACAATATTTGTTAAAATATATATAGAATATTTATTAAAATAAAGATGTAATGTGATTTAAGTGCCTAATAAAAATGTCCAACTTGTCATAAATTCTCAAAATAGCATTATGAAATCTGAAAATGTCCAACAACCTATATAAAATATCTTTCCTTTCAGGTAAGAATCTTACTATATGATAAAGAATGTACATCCAAAAACAAATTTAATTATTCACGAAGGAAAAAATATCCTCTCACAAGTCCACTTAGGATATAAGGAGAAGGTGAATTTCATGGTAAATTAAAAGGCTCCGGCCTGACTCCCCCGTATAATCATTACATTTTTACCATCCGCTTCTTAAAAATTTCATTTTCTCACTGGCCCACCTGTATCGCACCCTCCGGTCGTGTAAAATAATTCTGTTCCGAGATAATAACATTACGTCATCCTCGCCGTAAAATTGAATGACTCACGTCCGCGAGTGCGTCTTTGTAACTTTACTGCTTATTGTTATTACAGAGGTCATGCCGAGACATTTTTACTCGTGGTTGGCAATAGTGCACATCTCCCTTTGGTGCAGCTCGACTCATTGTTTCTAGCGCGAAAGGAGGTAGAATTCGGTACATCGAGAGCGCTTCGTACATTATACGCGAAAACTTGTTTATCGTTCTTTCACGTGGTGATATTTCATGTGCTGCAGCATGTATGTATACTTTCTAACTAGAAGATTCGAGCAGTTCTTTTTTTTTAACTTTTAACTTTCACATGCAAATCAGGAATCCGAAATATCGAACATTTTATTAACATTGACGTTCCCCACACCATACCGCCGACTTCCCAGTAATGAACATACTTCCACGTACATATTACTTTTTCCCTTTTGTGCCTTGCACGTCGCTCATAAAGCACGCTAGAAGTTAAAGAAAATTTAGCGACAATTAGTTAATCAAACGAATGAAATGCCTTTTCTTCATTAACACAAAAAATAATAATCACTTATCGATATTATATAGAATAACGAGCATCTAATATCATCACATCACTTATACTAATTGAACGAAGATATTGGAAATTTCAGTCTGCGTATGAGACTTCCTTTACGCTCAGCCCCTCATCGCATTTACGATCAAGTGGGAAAAAACAAAGTCAAAGAGCCAAGACTCGATCGACGCGACTCGACCGTTCCCTTCTCCAGAGGTATTAAGGACCACGAGCCAACTACGATGAGGCCAAGGAGAATCGAAATATCCGCGAATATGGTGAATAAATTAAACTTGATCGTGCGTTATCGATGAGGTAAGCCAGTCGCCGAAAAGTCGCTGCACGCTCGGTACAATCGAGCTAGAGAAGGATGCTAGAAGCTCCGTACGTGAGCCTTATTACAACAATTATCACCTGGGTCGATTACACATTATGCACGAGTCGCCTCTAAATATTTATCTGACAGTGTAATCGCATGAGTTTACGAGCGCAACCGATAGCTTGTCATGTGTCGCACGTCGTCGTTATAACGGACGTCCAAACAACTGTGCTAAATACACCGGAGCGTTGACGCGTTGCATAGAACGAGGAGGGCGTTACGAGGGGCGGAGTGGAGTGAGGGGGATAGGGTGGTGCGGGAATTTGAGGGGAAGGAGGTAATGGCAGCGGGGAGTCGATATAACTTTGCTGCGTCGGAAGTTAATTCGAAAGCTGAAACTGATGCGTGACTATTACGTCCCCACCCGCCCCTCTACGTATGTTGATCCATGCACGTGCGCGTATTCACGCACGCACACCCGCACACACGCATACACACAGTGGTAAAAAGGCGCGTGCGAAGGAAGGAAGATTCGAGCGTGCAAGCCAACGGATTAGAACTTACGTCGTCATGTAAAAGAGTCGAACCTAAGCGCTTTCAAAATTCCGTCGGTTGTTGGGAGGGGGAGGGGGGTGCGATATGGCGAGCGAGTAAGGGGAAGGGGGAGCGTATGCAAGGGTGAACGATCATTTCCCAAATGATTTATATATTGAGACGAAGATTATAAATATGCTAGACGCTTGATCGTCGTTATTAATTAAATTCTACTTTCCGTTATTGACGCAAGATGAAATAATAACGGGGCAGTCTTCTCCCATCGTGTCTCGCATTGCAAGCGTGTGAGTCCGACTTTTCGCAGCATTACAACATTACAGTGCGATCTCATAGCAATGAATTTAACGATACCAATCTGAAATTAATCAATAAGAGCTACTTATTCGACGAAACATTTTCAATAAAAATATTCGTTTAGGAGTGAACGGCTGACGCGTTAAGCAATGAGATTATGAAAATTTCGGAAGAGAAAAATTATTTAATCGCTAATAATAACGATATAAATGACATAATTTATTTTTCCAGGACGTTCACGTAAATGGGTAATAATGGAGCAAAGCAGAAAAGTTATGAAAATAGGGTAATTTCTTCGAAAGACGCATACGTAAAATATTGTGAATAACTTATAATTTTGGCAAAGCCAAAAAAAGTTCTCTACGAGTGGAGAAAGTTGAGAAAAGCATTGTTCGAATTCGTGAGATAATATTACATCTATAAGAACATCTATACGTGGATGTAATGCCAAATACGGTCAGATACTCAGTCTAAGAAAACTTGCTGCGTTTATGTAAACGTACTTCACGATCATCTTTAAAACTATATTAGCACTACTTTACCGACCATTATTGTTAGTAGAATATTGAAAATGATTATAGTTACAAAAAAAAATGTAGGCTTTTAAAATAATACAGCATTTCAATTTCATCATTCGAGCAAAAATATTCTAGTTCGTAAAATTGGTCATTTATTCTTAAACGAAAAATATTAGGAAATACCCATTTTCGTTATGGTATACTTCAACCTGTCGCTATCATTATAAATCTCAGCTTAAGGCAATAAATATTTGGACGTAAGGACATTTCATTCGACCGAATTGTTTATATATACTAATATTATTGGTTATAATAAAAACAAAATAAAAATGAAAAAAAAAACCTGACTAGCATCGTGTGCAATAAGAATAAAAAAGGCGTTTAATGAAACAATCACACGACGGGGGCAATACTACGATAAAAGACAAAAGGCATTTTTAAGTCAGAAAATACATGGAGTGAAAAATAAAATCTTGATTAAAATCTTGCCCGGGTCACCGTAATTTCTTACTTAACGCTCGACCTTATCAATATGGGGTGATAATTATTGTTTTCTCTCCTCTGCCAGTAGCAGCACAATGGCCCGACTCTTCAACAACCCTCCACAAAAGGATCGCATCATCCTTATGAAACAACCTTACATCGCATTGGAAAGACTCGAATGAAATAGTCGTTACACGAGTCCCTTGGCGTGTAACAACGACAGCCGCTCGCGATGAGGAGACGCAAACGAATTCGTCGACTGATCTTCGCACGCAATCGCAAATGCCGAGCCAAATATAAATTGAAAAAGATAGTCAGAGCGAGAGAGAGAGAGAGAGAGAGAGAGAGAGAGAGAGAGAGAGAGATTGTTTGTGTGCGCGCGCGCGCGCGTGCGTGTGTGTGTGAATCACAGTGCGATAGGGGGAGGGAGGAGAGAGATGATAGAGCGCAAAGACGGAGGCGATATTGAATTATTCAAAGAACAGACCGTTATCCTTCCAGATCATTTCTCGACTTGTACTGAATCAAAGATATATCCGATCAAAACCGCGCGATATTATTATTAAAAGTACGTGTAAGCGTGCCCTTGTAGGCCAGTATTTCACTCCTGAATCATAGTGTCGGAGCGAGATATGTTTTTAAGAAAAGAGAGAACCCCTCGAAAGAGCTCCGATCGCTAAGCTTTGTGATTCGCATTTAAATGTTTGATGCGAGATTCCATAAATCGACAACGCTCACTCTTTTCTAAGCTCCCTCGCTACTTATTACGAACTATATATTTGGAAACTACGAGCCATTTTCAAAGGGGAGGTGTTAGGAAGGTCCTTAGGGTTTAAGAGGATAGCGGTGGGTCGATTTAGAAATTTTGATAGCTTTGCGATCCGACCGCGTTAATACTTCCCTGGGAATTCTAAATACTCACTTTCGCCGATGCATCGCGTGCATTTGATAAAATGACTCTATTTTATTATAATTATGATTTTTTAATGTGATGTGGCCTCGACTTAACTTAATGTTCGCTTGGTCAAAGCAACCGATGTAAAATTAGATAATTTAAAGACAGGCAATCTTGTATTTAAAATTGAAAATACGAAAGACTTAATTTGCGACACTTTATCTTTGATGGAATAGTAATTGTAAAGTTACGTTTTTCTAAAGAAGAAATATTGAATTTTTACCCTTTTGTTCAATGTCTATGAATTATCTCCTTTATTCTGTCCAAAAATAGGACACCTTGAATTTAAATTAAGTAATGTTACGTTTAAAAATTTCATACAAAAACTTTCTAATAGATAAAATCAAAACACTAAATGTATTAAGAATGTGTAACTTCATCGCGGTTATTTTTACAGAAAATTTTTTAAAACATCAAACTTTTGTAAAGTAATTTGGTAATATTCTGTGAAAAAAGTTTTAGTTAATTAAATAGTTGAAAATATTCCTTGAAATCGCCTTTTTTTTTGTTATATTTTTTTTTCTCTAATACTTATTTTATACTGGTAGTTTGCTTTTATATCATCACTATTAATTTGCTTTATTCACGCACAACTACTACACTATTATACGAGTCATTAAAATTACGAAATTAAAATGTTTACGAAAGTCTTTCACAAATAATCCGTCGAAAATTGTCTCTTTGTCTCTTAAGTATGCGTCTCTTAGTCGAAGTGAAATTTAATGGAAATTGAAGTATCATTTTTCAACTGTTGCTCGTCCTAATATCACTTTCTCGCTCTTAAGCTTAATCTACTAAAAATAGTAAAAATAAATAATACATTCTCATTCTTTTTTCGCTTTGTCACTAATCTACTCGTTTTTACAAGCATAAAGATAATCGCAAATAATGTCACTCGTGTTATTACTCGCTTAATCATTCTTCGTCGCACAGTTACATACAGTTATTATTGTAAATGATAAAAGTATAAACATCAATTGAATAAAAATTTGAAATTAATATTAGCAATAGAATGAGCTTGTGCTTAGTGATTAGATGGTACTTTTGCTGCAATTACTTTTTAATCGTTTAATACATGGCCACTCAGTACCTTCCAATTCACTTGAATCAATAATAATAATAATAACAATAGTAAAGTGCAGTGCGCATCATCTAGTGAAGTGATTTTGAATATTAGGAAAGGCATTTATTTATTGATATTAAACGTGAAGTTTTTGAGTAGAGTATTGTCGGAAGAAAAATGGCACGACATTTGAGCTTAGCTTATAAACAAGGAGGGACACGAAAGGATAATTGGCAAAATAAAGAAAAGTGCTCGTGTAAAGTTCCGGAGAACAAGCGCGTGGAAAATAATGGAATAATTGGAAAAACAGAGGCCAAAGAACCTAAGAGCGAACGTTCGTTCGCCCGCGCGTGGCAACATGTGACGAAAACTGCCACTTGATGGGCCTCTAAGGAATTAATTCGGTGGTTATTCAGAATAAAAGTGCCATAGCGGAGAGAGAGAGAGAGTGTGTGTGTGTGTGTGTGTGTGTGTGTGTGTGTGTGTATCTATCGGCACTTCGAGAAAGCTCGAGCGCCCCACAAGCAAAGGGATAAAAAGTCGAGGAAGAGAAGAAGTCCAAGAGGTACACTTACTTCTTGCAGACTTGGAGACAAAGGCGAGTAGATCCCTGTAATCCTCGGGCGTGGTCGCCTCTTGATTAAAGCTCTTGTACATGGACGTCTGATTGAGTGCCGTGTAAACGGCTCCGAGGGTAAAGTGACACTTGGAGTTGCCACGGCTGCTGGCCATCGCGTGGTTGTGGAAGAGTAGGGCGGCGACCTTCCAGCCGAAGCCCTGAAGTATATGTTGTAGGGCCTCGCCGACGAGCCGGTGGGAGCCCATCATCCGCGTGAGCGTCGGGTAATGCTGGTCCTTGTGGCGGAAGGCGTCGGCCTGACCACCGGCGGTCAGAACAGGGATCCTCCAGGCGCCTGCGTACCTTGCCACCGGGGCCAGCACGTATTCGCAGACCGGGCCCAGGAATGCATCTGGTGCACGAGAAAACGCATCTTGAAACGCAATTTAAAAGGCTCATTGAAACGCAATAGGCAAATGCGTCTCGTTTAGTACATTAAATACGGGGGTGTACATCCTGGCTCTTGGTGGAGAAAGTAACCCGAGGCTTATTAGAGACGATAATTTACGATTGATTTTGCCGTTCTTGGCGCGCTAATCGATAACTTAGTTATCGATGTACGGGGCTCGCTCGTTAAATAACAAGAACGGAACAGAAAGAAGGGCGGGGTGGGGGGGGGGATTTTATCGTGAGAAATTCCACGGATAACTCGTTGAACAATTGGAAATTACGTAATTGTTGCGTATCGCACTAAATACTTTATATCGCGCACCAGTAGTTTATAGGATTTTATTTCCTAATTGCTTATAGGAAGCTTATATATTACGTGTGAATATATTGAAAAATTTTAAATATTCGTAAATTAACGATTATTCAATTTTGGACGCTCGAATATTTTCATTTTAAGCCGATCTAGCGCCACTAAAATTCAGTCAATAAATAATTAAAGGATTTAATGTTTTTCAATTGCATATAACTTTGGCTATAATTTAGCGATTACGAGTTTTATTCGTATTCGTTAATTTTTCAAAGTAGCTTATTATTGAACAATTGACGCGTCGACAATAACACTAATTATGAAAAAAATATTTGGATTGTTGATAATATTGATGGAGTAAGTTCTGCTGACGTGATGCAATATTTTCCATTATGCAATGAGTAACCACTGATCGGTCGGTCGCGTCCTATTGATTTATTTATTTCTTTAAATACGTCGATTTATCGGAAATTCTCCTCGAACATTTGATGGAAGTTAAAACTTTTATACTACTCTTTATGATTCTAAAATTTTTTGTTTAACATGCTCTAGAAAAATCTAGTTCAAAATTTTATAAATCTTCTAAAATGCGTGAAACAGAACTCACGTTGCACAACCAAGTACAATATAAATAATTTTATTGTGCGATATCGACTAATACGATCCATATTATTAAGGACAGAAACGCTTATACTTAAATACTTAATTGAGCTATTATTATTATATAACGGCTACGCAAAGAGATTGTCATTTCATTAACTCGAGTATGCTTAATCTATTAGAGGTACTTGGTTATTACAGACTTTATTAAAGTTTAACTTGATAGAATCTGCCTATCTTTATCTTGGCCTATCTACCGAGATTTTATTATACATTTTCTCTACTAAAACCTGACATGATGCTCTTTTACCTTCTTTTTTAACACCGCGAACGTCATGTATCATAACGTTTTCAGCTTAGTTTACTCTCATTTGAATTTTCATAACTATTTTCTTGTTTCATTTAATCCCAAATAATCGTAACTTTTAAAAGTATTGAATGAATATTTTATAAAAACTACGTAAGCATGATTAGTCATCATCGTCATTCGCATACTTATCTAAAGGGTCGTCGCTTATCAAACGTGGGCAATGATAATCCTTCGGTTAAAATGTGCCCCTTATGCATTATAAAATAAAATAAATGTAATAAAAATTTCAAGCATTACTACCTAAAGCTTATGACTACTAACTCTCTAACAAAATCCACTGGAACTATCGAATGCGAGAAACGTCCCGGCATAAGAGCACGTTTTGCTAATATTAAGAATATTCCCTCACACTTATTTATTACAACGCTTTACCCATCCACGACAATGCCCCTTCATACTAAACAATCCAACAATTTATCTCGTCGAATAATAAGCCCTAATCAGTATTGTCACGAACGAGGGTAATCTAGTGGTGCACATGCAATATGTCGGGAATGCGCCAAAGTGCATACGTGCCGGTCGGATAATCGACAAAGAAGGCCGCTGAACATGCGGAATCGGTAGACAAGAAGCACAGTTGTTATGAGACGAGAAACTGCTTCAGCAGTTGTCGAGGTACGGGATGGGAGAGAGGCGAGATCTTATCATGGAGATGCCCAAGACAGAAGGTTGATAAAAGGAGGAACGCGATGTTAAAGCGCTTGGGGCTCGTCTTGGCTTCTGTACGGACTCTCCAACTCCACGATTTCAAGGCGATTTGACAAGCTAACCGAGACTGGGAACTGCACGAATGAGAATCGACGATGCTTATGCACTAGGACCGAGGATGCAAGGATGACCGATAATACGCGCTACCTGACGCGCATTCGCGATTTCGTGAAGAAGAAGTGGCTAATCTTAACTCTGTTTGCCTCCATGAACACCCGACTTTCATTTATTGAGAGAGACGCGAGTCTAAGCCCCACCACCTGTCCCGCGCGTATTTTTATGTCGGTGCGCCTTAAATATTTATACATTTACGGTGACTTTAGCGGATTCACGAAAATTTATTTATGCGTCACTATATGACAGATAATTTTGACAGCGATCAAAAGTAATATTACAACGAATGTTTTACGCATTAAATAAAATATCGAGTTTCTTTATTCTATGATTATATATGCACTGGTAAACAACTCGATTTTTTTTTTCTTTCATTTATTGTTCATCAGAAGCGTTCTTTTCTAATCAACTTACTTTCATACCGTAAAAATATATTTATTTCTTTTTTCTTTCTTTTCTTTTTTATTCCAATATGTACTTTGCTTTTCATGCAAATAAACTCACGATATACTTCTATATGATTCTCGAATATTCCCTCTGATAATTAAACTTAATACGTCATCTTTTCACTATTGTCAAATCGTAGATATTTGTATTTGTTATAATGCTATGTTCGTATCTCTGGTAATACCTCTCGTTTAATTCGTTTTCATAATTTAATTAAAGCAATGATTAACGCATATAAGCAAATATAAATTATTTTGCTAAGTTGGAGAAAGATGTATCAGTAATAGTTAATTATTTAGAAACTATATTATGTGGCAAAACTTACTCGATCGCAATCTAAAAATAAAAGATATTATTGTTGTGCAATGAAAATAATATTGGTTTAATCAACTCTCAGATATTTTTAAGTAAAGAAACATCTACGTTTCTTTTTAATTACAAGTCAAGTTGAGAATTTTAAAACAATAGACCTGGATTAATCCACCAACTTTTTAAATATAAATTAATGAAAGAGAAAATACTGGTCTCGATAGATCTCTAGACAATCACCTTTTGATTTTACAATTAACTTCTATTTACGTATAATAATTATTATTAATAAGAAACACTTTATTGTAATAAAACTGTAAAAATACCAGTACAAAGTCTTCCTTAAAATTTAGAGAAATTTATTTCTTTTGGTGGTAGATAATAATTGAATAAATATAAGTCTTAATTTGTCTATACATTTTCTCATGTATATGAAATAAAAGAAGAAAGTTGCGTTTGTATTAATATTACTTATTCTTGTAAAATTTTCTTTATTAATTTTCTTCTTTTTTTTTTTTTCTTGACAAACGCAAAACTAACATCACCTTTTATCTACCTGTTGAGTGTAAAAATTATTAATATAAGAAAATTATCGGTTAAACAGTTAAACATACTGATGGAATCTGCAAAAATTTATTAATATGCCCTTCTACCTGGCGTTTGAAAATCAAAATATGAAAAATAAACGGGCTTAAATGTAAATAGGATTATAAATCCATAACTAATGGAAAAAAATTTCTAAAGTCCAACAGCTTTGGAAAATGCTAGATTATATATTTGGCATTCCGTTGAAACTATGAAATGTAGAAATATATAGATTTTTTTACATTTCTACATACCAACTATTTTATTCTGAAAATCGGTGATTTAATATTTTTACTTTCATTTTTAACTGAAAATCTGTCAGGCAGAAATCTCGTATTTACATGCATCGAATATTCACTTCTGTCGCATCTATTTGCGTATCGGTAGATCGCATCGATTGAATTTTTACACCAAAGTGAAGAAGAACATCAATGATTCTGACAGATTTAGGTCAAGTGATGGAAAGCAATGCATACTCTTTACGAATAAGAGATTACTTTATAATATTTGCCAGGAAGGAAAGGAGGAAACAATGAATGATAGCTTACCGAAAATCCGTTATCTTTGTTGACAAATTTTTAACATATGAAATAATTTTCACAATATTGCCGTCTATGCTTAACATTATATTTATAAATTGCATCGAATAATTTTTGTTTTAATGACAATTTATAAACATTAAATTGATTAACGTGAAAATTAGCTTCATAATAAAAAGTTTGCTTATCTTATGCGTTTTAATAGGCCATAATTTTAAAAATATTTATCGACACATATTAGAACCCAAACAACTTACACATGTGTTAACAATTTCTTTTCATTTTACACATAATAAATTTTCAAATTCAAATGTACGTTACGATAACGTGCTAAATAAATTTATGTATATTTATTTATTTAAAGAGACACGTACGAGAAACTCCATTCAAAGATTAAAAATATTCTAGTAATTAAAATGTTAATCGTTAAAAACTCATCAATATATCGTAAAACAGAAAAATTATAAAATAAAATATGAGCGATGAATGAGAATAAGACATAAAATTCATTGTATTTATAATTATTCAATGCTAAAAAAATTTGGAATGTTGTAATAATAATAATATATCTGCCATGAATTTTCAAGTGTATCGCATTAAACGCTGTACATCTGTCGAAGTGGCCATAAATACTTTTATAGGTCATTGAAATATAGAATCGCAGTTCTGAAATATTTGAATTTTATTTACTTTTACATTTTATTTAGTACTAATATTTATATTGATCGCTCAATAACAATATATTATCATCGAAGTTCTTGACTTAAGCACATTGAGCAAAAAAATTCCAGATTTCATACTATTGTTTCTTTTCTTTTTTTTTTCTTTTTTCTACTCTACTTACAAATTTTTTTTTGTTTTTATTAAATAACAAAAAGATTTTTAATAATAGATTAATAAACTGTATACCGTGAATTGAATCACTAGTTAGTAAAACAAAGTTACAGTCGTACGCGAAACAAAACTTTGCCGTTTTATCAATC